CCCCGCCGCTCGCCCGGGGAAAGGGGTGCTGGCGGGTTTGGGTGCAGGTGTGCGTGCGTTTGGCCTTGCGGCGGGGCGTGCTGCAAGCCTGAGTTGGCTGCTGAAGCACGCCAGCCTCGGGTCCGTCCCAGCTGTCGCCTGGCACCCAGATTGATCATTTGCTGGCAGGCATGTGACGGCATGCAGGCCAGCTCCTGTCGCTGAGGTGGCAACACCTCTTTGCGTCCCTCCAAGCCCGCCCCCCTCTCGGTCAAACCCCTGCGCGCGACCAGGTTTGACTGGAATCAGGAGGCGGTCCGCGCCCAGGCGCTCGTCAAAGCCGGCGAGTGGGTCATCGAGGAGGAGCCCCCTTACTGACAACAGAGCTCTGGCGTGGAGCCGTCTGCTTGTTTGACCGCGTTTGACTTTGCAGCCTGACCCAGTGATTTCGTTTTCTTTCTTTTTGAAGGTATAGAATCCTATGCGTCACCGCTCGATGCTTGTGGTGCGCTGCCCTGATGGTCACGAGTGCTTCCCTCTACATTTATTACGTGACATCCTACACGCAATCTGGCGCCATGCGCCGCGGCTGCTTTCCTGTGAGGGCCGCCAAAAGGCGCACCTACGCGCGGCAGCAGAAATCGCATTTAACGCGGCACACCGCTGGTGGCACGCAGTGTGTGCGGCCCGGCTTTCGACCGCAGCTGGGTCGGTTTTGCTGCGCGACGCTGCCGAGTTGAGGGGCGAAGGAATCGGTGCGGAATGAAAGATGTTACAGGCTGAATTGATGAGGGGATGCGAGCGACGCGCGGCGGCGCTGGCGACGCCGGGTTGACGGGTTTTGAGGGATGCCGAGAGCGGATTCTGAGGTGACACGCAAGGCATGAGACAGGGGCCACAGGCGAATGACAAGCGCTGAGCCGCCCAACAACCAAGGCGTGATGATCGCTGTGTCTAGGGGGCCGCGCAGGCAGGCAGGCAGCACTGGGAAATGGAACTGCGCGGGTGACCGCCAGCATCCGCGAATGGCGGTGAAGTGTTCAGGGGAGGGAAGCGCCGAACAGGGGGCGGGCGACCGCAGCGCACAGGGGCGCGAGAAAAACAGATAAGCGCAGCCAATGCTATGCCTTGCCGCCGGAGCGGCACGGCGCAAAGGGACAGGCGGGCTGCGCCAGCCGGCAAGCGGCGGCGCCACAGCAGTTGCGGCCGCGCCGCCGAGGCGAATCAGCTGGCACGCTGGAAGAGGCCGGGCCCGCGGCGCCGTCTCAAGCGGCCCACGGGTCCCAGGGCGCCGCCTCGCGGCGGTGCGACGGCGTGCATTGCGCGCGTCCCCTTGAGACGAGTCCGCGCAGGCGCCGCCCTCAGTCGCTGTCTAGCGCCGAGAGGTCGATTATGTCGCCATTCATGTAGGGCGTGAGGGGCGCTGGCTGCCGCTGCTGCTGCACATGCTGCTGCTGCTGCTGTTGCTGGTGCGGCTGAAAGCCATACCCATACCCGTGCCCATGCCCCTGCGGAATCTGCTGCTGCTGCTGCTGCCCGTAACCCGCGCCGCCGCCAAAGCCGCCGGAGCCGGTGGTGACGAGCTGCCCCGACCCCAGGCGGCCAGACCCCGCGCCCGCCAGCCCTGCGCCAGCGCCGCCGGGCGCCGCCGCAGTGGACCTTGTCATGTAATCCAAATACGAGCCCGTCGGCCCCGGCGGCGCCGCCGCGAGCGAGCCGCTGCGCGCCCCCGCGAGCGAGGCGCCGCCGCCTGGGCCGTAGAGCTGCGTGTATGGGTTTGGTGCGGCCGCGTGCGGCGGGTGGTGCGCGGCTGCGCTGCCGTAGGGCGCGGCCGCGCTGCTGGTGACGTGGCCGCCGGCTTGGTAGGCGTAACCCGGCGGCGCGGCTGCCGCGGGGGGCGCGTAGCCGAGCGCGCTCGGCAGCCGCGTCGCATGCGGGTACGGGAGGCTGCCGCTGCCCGCCATCGCCAGGGACTGCGCGCGCTGCTGCTGCTGCTGCTGTTGCTGCTGTTGCTGTGCAGCCAGGGAGAAGGCCGTGGCCCGTGGGTTGTGCGCCGCAAACTGGGACAGCACTTGCGCGCCTGCGCCCTGCTGTTGCTGCTGCTGCTGCTGTTGCTGCTGCTGCTGCTGCTGCTGCTGCTGCTGCTGCTGCTGCACCGCCTGCAGAGACTGCGACAACTGCTGCAGCACGCCGTCGCGCCCGCCGCCGCCGCCGCCTCCTGGGCCCGCCGCCGCCGCCGCCGCCGCCGCCGCCGCCGCCGCCGCCAACGCCGCCGC